AGGCAGCTTCAAGCATTGCTGCCCAACGGCATAGGAAGTGCCCCCACTCGCCGTAATAGTAGTGGCAACAATCTCCATGGAGTAGAAAGGTCCAAAGGAGCGAATGGGCAAGACCAAATTCGTGCCAGAGCCAATTAATGGCACGAATTTGATGGTCTCACACCAAAAGTTCGATATAAACGACAGAGTCAGCGCAATAACGGCGACAATACCGGGAATAAAGGCAATTAGAAAATCTTTCCTGTCAGTCAATAGTTCGTGAGGAACGATGTGTGCAGCATCACATGTGTGCGACAAGGGTCATTTTGTAGTAATGACAACAATACATGGCGGTGTCAGTTCCATGGTCGCGTTTGACGCTACAAGCGACATATCCCTATCGAACGATTCACGCACCTCATGATGATAAAACGACTCTAACAATGCGGTAGAGTAACGGTGAATGGTCAAGAGCAACTATTGCGTACTCGGAGCACTCGTATGATAGGATCGAACAGTCGCGATAGTTGATAGATCAATGTTTAGAACGATTGCAAACGGACGCAACTTCAAGTCGTTCGGATCAAGATTCTGGTCTCAATTTCTTGATCAGATCCAACAAGTATCAGGATTTTGTGCAGAACTCCATTGAATTATTGTTGGACACCAAGATTTCCACTCATTTTCAATAGAGATTTTCTGGTCTTTTACGGAGTCATTTCACGTATTTTTTTTCTTCCGAACATACCAGAGATGAGGTGCCGCGGTGCCGCAGGAGGCGTCCCCGATCCCCACCATGCACCGGTCATGCAATTTTCCTGTGTTTCGGTTAAACTAATCCCATGAGGTTCGGGGTGCCTGGACTTTTTGATCACTCTAGACGCTAATCCAAACTTGACATCATGCCAACATGATGACAACAGGTGTTGGATATTAGGAGCACTGACCAGCTACCTTCCTGAACCAAGTATGTGCTGGTATGCACTTCATCAACCAACTGCTAACAATTCCAATCATCTACCAGAGGGGGCATGGATGTAAGCAATGCTGGCAGTTAGACTGCACTCAAGTGTTGCACTTATCCACTTGGATGCGCATGTTCCAAGGTATCCACAAATATACTAGCTTTTCTCTGGCTAAGGTGTTAGAGGCAGGATTAATCAACAGCAACTGCCAATTCCAGCGTATCAATTTTGCTCCGCCCCAGCAGGAAGCACCCCCACCAATAATTTAAAATGTTCTATGATGCCATTCTCCTTCTTTTATGTAAACAACAGGAGAAGTGGAGCCTACCGGTAGTTGCACGGGCTGGCAGTTGGCACGTTGGCACTAGCGAAGTCTCTGGAACTCTTGGGGACCAAACACGACTCAGAGTACTGCGATCCGAACTCATTCAAATGGAACTCTATGGCACCGGTACCAGGTATGCATACTAGTCCGGTAATGCTACACGCGCACAGTCCCCCTCTGCGCAAGTGTCACCAAATTTACCGGTAGTCACAAGAATTTTCTTGACAATGAGTTTGTGTTCATGGTTTTGAATGCTAACAACTGTCAACTCCAACAACTGTGAAAAAAAGTGAAGCACCATGGTCGAAACATTCAAGTTTGCTCACGCCGAATATCTTGGGCCTGCTGCGGATGACGATCCTGCCCCCAGGATTCGAGCAACCGAAGTCCCCATCGCTGTTCTCGTCACCAACAGCAATACCGGATCCGTCACGATTCCCGCATCATCTCTGGGCACAAGACACTCACCATCTGAGGCAGTGCCACTTGTTCCAGCGACATCGCTCCCTGCTACGCCGATAGTGACGCGATACACAAGAACGTATACCATCACCCCTCCATTGGATCGTATGGCCATGAAGAAACGTCGAAAACGTCGCAAAATTATTGCCGGAGTCGTTGGGGGCACAATTGGTTTGGTGGCTCTCGGTCCACTGGGAGCTGTCGGAATTGGGATTGGGTCGGCATTGGTGGTCAAACATGCCGATAGGGCGCACGAACGAAGAGTTTTGAAAAAGTACGAAGCTCGCTGTGCCCAAGACGGAACTTCTCTTGTGAGAGAAGTCACCATCGACTGAAAAGTCTATATACAATTAGTGTACATAACATTGTCGTCGAGGACGATTGCATTTTAGAGCTTCCTTCAGCCTGGTTCTGCAGAAACCAGCTCAATCGTGCACTCCACGGTACGAATTAGTCCTCGGTACCGTCAGCTTGAGTTACCATTCACACCACTCGGGTCGAGATGACGAAAAATCTCAGATCCTGGCATTATGTTGGTATGCTTTCTCGTCTTCAAGTCACTCGCCTTTAGCCTGGATCGTGTCAAATCGAGAGAAGGTTCGAAACTGTTCAGCACGAATTAAAAAAAATCCATGGCAGGCACATGATGTTCCACACAATGCCGAAGGAGCAGCAAGTCACCCAACGTTTTCTTCTTGTGCATTCGCACAACAGTCGCATGCATTGGAGCTATGACTGTGTTGAATGGCAATCTGGTGGCGGATGCCAAGTACCTGGGACCCGCTCACAGTTGGGACGTTGACATTGTCATTGACAGTACAGTAGATGGCCCAACCTTTGCCTCGGCAATAGCCACACCCATCATGCCCAAGACAACTTCAGTTACAAGAACATACACGATTCCTCCTCCCCCAAATTCTTACGAGATGAAGAGACGACGTAAACGAGATGCTGTCCGAGCCGGAATGATCGGAGCCGTCGTGGGCTTGGTAATTTGTGGACCCGTCGGTGCAGTATTGATCGGACTAGGGTCTGCTCATATTTCGAAACGGATGAACAAGAACAAGGAGAAGCAGATATGGATGGCGTACGACTTGAAAGTGGCGCAGCAAAGCGACGTTGCTGTCACTATGGAACGAAAACCAAGCCAAATCGACAGCACCCATGGTGGGAACGGAACGAAGCGTCGATTGATGAACAAAGTCTCGCAAACGAAACCCTAATTCTATATCCTTAATCATCAGTTTTCACTTTCGTCATCGTCGTCTTCACTCTCATCGTCTTCATCCATATTTTGAACATCAGCTTGCTCGTCTTCGTCGTCCTCCTCGGGATCATCCGAGTCATCCGACTCGGCTCCCTTTCGCAAGCCATCCATGACATTGCGCTCACGGGCTTCCTTTCGTTGTCGTTTGGCCTCCAACTTGGCTTCTGCGGCCTTGCGCTTCCTCTCCACATTTGCATTTTGTTCCTCTCGTCGTTGCTTCTTGAGCATTTCCTCCTTCTCCTTGCGCTCCTTAAGTTCTCTAACTTCTTCGGGTGTCTTTTTAATAAGAGCATGGTACATGACATCACCTTTACCCAAACCGCGTTCAACCTTGAGCAATTTGATAGACAATCGTGGCCCAAGTTCCACAAGTTTCAATGCCGACTTTTGGGATTTCCCATTCCCCCGGCCACTGTATCGTTGTGGCAAAACAACATGAGATGTTTCGTCCTCGGGTTCTGAATCCGAGGCAGCCCCATGCAATGTCGTCGCCGACGGAGCCGACAGTCCAGATGCCGTCGTGCCGGTAATGTAATCGGCAATGTCATTTAAATTGCTGAGATTGGGTATTTTCGTTTGTACAATGCGTCGCACCTTGCGATCGACACCCACGGGAGTCGCCTTGATGGCGTAATGACGCATTTCAACGACATCCTCGAGTAGATTGAACAAGACGACACGACGACATTCACTCAATTTGACAGTTGCCACATTAATGGCTGGAAACATGTTTTGGAATGTAATTCTCATGAGTTTCACATGCGGCGGTGCGGTGGCATCACCAAAATTGTTCGTCACGACGATGGGTGAGTGCTGATGTATACCCGCAGACGTGTATGGTCGTCGTTGTATTGCGCGTACATGCTTCACCAATGAGAACTTGGTGACGCGGAATGTCATGGTTGGGCCCTCCGGAACACGGGCGAGGCGCAAATTGAGGTGCTCGGCGTTTTGGGAAAGTGCGAGAATGTGCGATACTCCCATGGGCATGGCAAGTTCTTTGGAGTATGCAGCCAAGGTGTGCTTTCGATTCTTTGGATCTTCCTGGAAATTGAGAGCCGTATACGGCAACATGACCTTTCTCAAGTCGCCAATCAGATCAGTAACTTCGGCTTCAACCTTTCCTCGCCGGATCTGGTGGAATGAAAAGTAGAATCGAGAATGTGTGAGGCACTGGTTTCACAAACAAAAAATGAGGTACAATTCTGCGAACTTTACCATAACCTTCGACTCACAATCAGCGACTTGGGAACTTTAAGATTCTCATTGGAAGCCAAAGCGCTTTGGGCTCCTTCGTTGTCTACAACATGAGTACGGGTCTTCTTGCGACGGCTACCTGCCCTTGGCATGGTGAATTCGTTGTTTTGGTTTTGGTGTGTTGGAGGACTTCAAGAGTTCGTGTGATGTATGGCATAGTTTGTGTTAGTTACCTTTGATCCAATGAATTTGAGTTTTGGTGGCTGGAGAATCAACGGACGATGACAGGCGGATCGTCAGTACAGTACCAGTATTCATAGGAATCCTTACTTTTTTCGTTTTTCGGAGTCGGAGTCTTTAAGTGAAACAAGTCAGGGTTAGACAAGCAAGTCTTCTTGAACGATGTGCATTTGTTGAAGCTTCAAGGCAAGTTAGAACGAACTCACAATTAATCCGCTTGCACCTTGTACCAGGTACTTGTAGTACGCTTGTAACTGTAATGCTGGGAAATGGATCATGTGGTCGTCTTCCTAGCCCTTTTTTGGTCCTTCCTTAGTCACAACCGATAGGTTTCTGATTGTGAGCCTGCAGTCTCCAGGGACCAGCACCCACCTTCTCCTTTCAGGTCAGAAAACAGAAGCAAGTTCTACTACATTTCCAATTGATCATCTCTAGTCCGGGGTAGGAGTACATGGTACGAACCCTTTGCAGTCATTACTTCAAAAGGCTATCAAAAGGAACGCTTATGCGCGTCCAAGAAATGTTGATAGATTTTACATATTTTAATTCCAACTCCATTTATATCGACGACATGGCCGAGCGGTCTAAGGCGCAACGTTAAGGCCGTTGTCTTCGGGCGGGGGTTCGAATCCCCCTGTCGTCAATATTTTTATAAATAGCGTTTTACCCTGTCGTCAATATTTTTATGAATAGCGTTTTACCTATCTGGTATGCATGGTATCCTTGTAGCAGCATACCATTTTTTTCTGTACCAGGTACTCCTATCTGCCGTGTACTCCCAGTACTGGCGTATCAGAACGACCCAAATTGAATGTAGCAGTAGTATGTAGTACGTAGTATGCAGTATGCATAGTTCGAAATGAAATCTGGCCTGGGGCCTTGGGGGACGAAGATCCATCTCGTCCTGGTCACATCATGCTACTACTAGTGTCTACCCACCTGACGGGGTTAATTAACCCCGTTTTTGCTCATATCGGTAATCGTTCCTGTTATCTTGTACATCGTCCGTTTGGATCCAAACTTGCTGAGCGTTGTAAGAACTGTATGAAGGAGCATGGTTGAAACGGACAGTAGGCCAGTGTTTGTGGTTATTGAGTTATCAGTGTTGTTCTGCGCGAATTTTTTTCCCTCCCAATTTTTTGAAGTCGTGAGAATTCTCGACGATGATATTGATGCGTTCACAGCTCATTGATATCATCATTAACTGAAGTGAGAATGAGCAGCAACGATCCTCGTTACCAGGTGGGGGCATTAGTGCATGCAAAAGCCATGCATGTAACGGCTCTCATTGAGTGTCACCGACGCTACGGCAGCAACGCAAAAACGAAGCTTGTCAATGGTACGGTCACAGAGCTTAGAACGGTCCCATCATCTAACCAAAAGCGAACGGTGACTCTCATTACTGCCATCTACAGCCTTGGTGGGCAGTGCAGGAAGGTTGCTACCTTGAATTCACGGTCAGTCAATGCTGGTCATGTTGCAGCCATCCCCAACGAAGGTAATGGACCCGGGACCGAACTCGTGACTCAAGTTTTGATTCCGATTGACATCGCAAATGAAACCTCCACCGCCAATGAAGCAAATGATGTTGATGGAACGCCCTCAAACATTGACATGCACACTGAAAGTGAGACAATTGTACCTGATGGTTTGCCTGTTGCTCCAGAAGGAGGCCCTCAGGATGTTACACAACACGTGCTGGACACTGATAATAATGCTCCTTCTCGGACCGCAGCAACTGCTCATGGTATAGAATGGGTCAGGGCATCAGTGAATGCATCACCATTGAATGGCAATTTCCCCAGGCGAATTTGGAGCATCCGTAATTCCGTTGGTGATGTGTTGGCTCCAGGAGGAAATGGTGTCGCGACACAAAACATGTCACCTCTCGAATTTTTGTTGTTGATGTTTCCTCCCAAGCAGCTGACTGACATGGTCCGCTGGACAAATATCCAGCTTCAGAAATCATCAATGAAAGAGACAACGCCCAGTGAGGTCCTCAAATTCTTTGGGATCCTAATCCTAACAACAACATTTGAGTTCACGACAAGAGCATCCTTGTGGAATACGACGGCATGGTCCACGTATCGACCGGCACCTCAGTTCGGGTTGACCGGGATGTCAAAGAACAGGTTTGAAGACCTGTTTAGTTGCATGAGGTGGAGTTTTCAACCGGCTGTTCCTACTTTTGAAGGGGAAGAAGAATCATCCAAACGATATAGGTGGAAGCTTGTTGATGATTTCGTTAAAAATTTTAACGAGCATCGAGCCAACTACTTCAATCCATCTGAGATGATCTGTGTGGATGAAAGTATGAGTTGCTGGTACGGACAGGGAGGCCATTGGATCAACCATGGCCTCCCTCAATATGTTGCAATCGACAGGAAGCCTGAAAATGGCTGTGAGATCCAGAATGCTGCGTGTGGTATGAGCGGAGTCATGCTGCGACTCAAACTTGTTAAAGGCGCTGATCTGCCGGGTTCAGAAGAAGAGCAGTTTGGAAACAACGATGATGATAGCTTGCTTCATGGCACAAATGTGCTGAAGCATGTCGTGTCACCTTGGTTTGGATCAAATTGGGTTGTGTGTGCCGATTCGTATTTTGCTTCTGTTGGAGCTGCAAAGGAACTGTTCCGTAATGGCCTCCGTTTCATTGGAGTGGTGAAGACCGCAACACGTGGTTACCCCAAATCATTCCTAACAAGTGTTGAGCTTCAGAACCGCGGAGATTTTGTTGCCCTTTGGTCGAATGCAACAGAAAATAGTCCAGAACTTGGGGCAATGGTGTGGATGGATAGGAGCGCCGGTATTTCATTTCGACTGCGGGCAGTTTTGAATGGGGACTCCGTATCAACGATGCCGCTGGAGGCAAGTTGACCCGGCACCAAATGCAGCTCCGCAACAAGTGGTGTTCACGATTCCCCAGCCAAAGATTGCTGAAATGTATTATACAACTTGTGGAGCAATTGACAGGCATAATAGACTTCGTCAAGATGACCTTCGCATCGAGAAGAAGATCGAAACAAAGGATTGGTCTCGGCGTGTGAACTTGTCAATTTTTTAGATGATTGTTGTGGACACCTGGTTGGTGTTTAATGCGATGAGGAACACACCAACTGTTCAACTAAATCAAAAAGAGTTCTATTCTGTCTTGTCAGAAGAGTTGATCGACAATTCCTATGGTAGCAGAGGCTGCCCCACAAGTCAACCCCGATCTTCACCAACAACGAATGCGGCGTCTTTTGTCCAGGATGCATGTATGAGAGCATTGAAAAGTGGAGGACCACGTGCCGGTGTTCTGACACACTTGACACCTGTCAAGCGACTCAAAAATAGCAAGGGTGAGAGGACTAGTTTTAGATATCAAGGAAGGTGTAAGGAGTGCCAGAAGAAGACCACTTGGCAATGCTCAGACTGCGGCGATGGCGGAAAAACTGTCTACCTTTGCGCCACAAAAAAATGGAAAACGATGCTTCTTGGACCATCTGGCTCGCAATCATATGCACCTTAGTGAGTTATGAGCATAATTTGAGTAGTTGAACAGTGCATTCATTAGTGTCAACATGTTCATATTGACCGTCATGGTCGACACCATTTTGGAGTAGATGGCAGTATTTTTGTTACTCACGATCGCAAAAACATGATGGGATTAATTAAGGCACACGACGGGGTTAATTAAGGCACATGGACCAGGTGGGTAGACACTAGTATCAGGTACCATAGAGAGTACTACAGTATAAACACATGATTACTCGTAAAATTGACAACTGATGCCCACCTTCCTTCTTAATGTTAGTGTGTGAAAGCATATCTTTCCTTCTTTCTGACAACGCACACGCAAAGAATGATGCAGAACGATATGGTGATTGTTAATTGTCAAGAATATAATCAGGATACAATCGTCATCCGCTTACGCGGACATGGCCATTTGGCTGTTGCTAGCGAGTTGTGACGACTGGACATGGCAAACATGAACATCACTAGTTGCAGCGATGAGGCATCCCTCATCTCGGCAAGTCATGGTAGCCGTTTGGAAGTCATTCGTGAATTTATTGAAATACAACATGGTCGATGAACTTTGTGGCGTGGCCCTCATTTCGGCATGCACGTTTGGCCATTTGGAAATTGTTTGTGAGCTATTGAAGCACGACACGGTCGACGTGAACGTCGCTGATGAATATGATAAAACTGCCCTCATTGTGGCAAGCGCAAAGGGCCATGTGGAAATTGTTCGCGCGTTATTAGAACACGACAAGGTTGATGTGAACGCCGCTGATAAAGAAGGTGAAACGGCCCTCATTGTGGCAAGCGAAGAGGGCCACAAGGAAACTGTTCGTGAGTTGTTGAAACATGACGTGGTAGACGTGAACGTCGTTAATCGATATAGTGACACGGCCCTAATGCGGGCAAGCACATTTGGCCTTGTGGAAATTGTTCGTGACTTATTAAAGCACGACATGGTCGACCTGAACATTACTAATCAATTTGGTGACACGCCCCTCTTCAGGGCAAGCGCCTTTGGCCATCCTAGAGTTGTTTGTGAGCTATTGAAACACGACACGGTCGACGTGAACGTTGCCACTCAATTTGGTGAAACGGCCCTCATTGTGGCAAGCGGTAAGGGCCACGTGGAAATTGTTTGCGAGTTATTGAAACACGACAGGATCGATGTGAACGTCGCTGCTAAATTTGGTAACACGGCCCTAATGATGGCAAGCACAGAGGGGCACTTGGAAATTGTTTATGAGTTATTGAAGCACAGCATGGTCGACGTGAACGTAACAAATCAATTTGGTGACACGGCCCTCATCGTGGCAAGCACATTTGGCCATTGGAGAATTGTTCGCGAGTTATTGAAGCACGGCGCGGTGGACGTGAACGTTGCTAATAAAGTTGGTGAAACGGCCCTCATCAGGGCAAGCGAAAAGGGCCATATGGAAAGTGCTCGTGAGATGTTGAAACATGACGTGGTCGACGTGAACGTCGCTAATCAATTTGGTGACACGGCCCTAATGAGGGCAAGCTCGGTGGGCCATGTTGACATTGTTTGTGAGCTATTGGAGCACGAATTAGTCGACCTGAACGTCGCTGATGACGATGGTGAAACTGCCCTCATCATGGCTTGCCTTAATGACCATTTGGAAGTTGTTTGTGAGTTATTGAAACACGACATGGTCGATGTGAACTCCACTTTTGATCACGGCAATACGGTCCTTATTTGGGCAAGCACAGTAGGACACGTGGAATTTGTCTGTGAGTTATTAAAACACGGCATGGTGCACGTGAACGCCCTTAATGAATGTGGTGAAACGGCCCTCATTGTGGCAAGCAGAAATGACCGCATGGAAATTGTTCGTGAGTTGTTGAAACATGACATGGTCAATGTGAACGCCGCAGTTTCACATGGCCAAACTGCCCTTGTTTTGGCGAGCCAAAGAGGCCATTGCGATGTTGTCGATGAGTTGCTGAGACACGGAGATGTGGATGTTAATGCTCGTTGTTGTCGTGGTTATACATCGCTCATGTGGGCTTGCCTACGAGGTAGATGCGACATTGTTTCCTTGCTATTGAAACATGGCAATGTGGACACGAATCTGAAAAACAAAGCAGGATCGACAGCGCTTGATGTTGCCCGCAATTGCA